TGAAAAGATAGCGTTTTCTTCTGTCCTTTTCTCAATACGTATTTCAATGTTTAATACCGTAAAATAATACATGAAAATTCAAATTTTCACAAACTTAAAAAACTTTCCAGAATATTGACTACTGAATATTAACAAGATATTTTTTTATTAAAATTTATCTTAAATTCTACTCTACAAAATAGCTATCTTTGTTTTTTTTTTTTTACATTTTATTTAAAATTTAAAAATAATTAATATTTTTAATAAAATGTAAAAAAAATAATTATTGAGATATAGCTATAGACCTAACGTATAACTATTATTTCAAAAAAAAATCAACTAAAAATATTAACTGGATCAAAAGTTATTTAAGTTGTCAGTGAGTAGTGGGCCACCCTGTATATACATATTGCGTTATATATATTTTTTTAATTTCTTCAATATATTAATATACGAATAAAATAGATTATAAAGTCGAATTAATTTCTAAATAATTCATATTAATGAATATTTGTTTTTACTACAATTCTATAGTACAAATAAGACAACTCGAATAAAAAAAATTTAAGTTCTATATAACTGCGTTTTGAGTTTTGTATTTAAACATTTTTGTGTTTATTTAAAGCACCAAGGTTTTTAGAAGTTTAATAAATTCTATTGACATATTGGTCATGAACCTTTTTACGCACATTTTTGATGTTCCAACTAATAAGCAGTTATTTTTGGGAAACAAAGTAATGATGCATAATTACGCGAGATTTTTCCAAATAAATATTTCAGTATGGGGCCAAATCTCAATAGTTACGCTAAACTGAACGTGTGCTGCTTTCCTTGGATGTGGTAGCCGTTTCTCAGCTCCCTCCCCGGAATCGAACCCTGATTTCCCGTTACCCATTACAACCATGATATTGATAGTAACTTCTATCATAACATGAAACTAAAAAGTAAAAAATAAATATAGTTTAAAAAAACTAAAAAAACACGCTTTTAAAGTACATCGAACTAAAAATTATTATTAACTTTTTAGTTCGATGTACTTTAAAAGCGTATTTTTTTAGTTTTTTTTAACTATATTTATTATGTAGAAACCTTAGATAACTCCCTATCATTTGATATAAATTTTTTGAAAATCGGACCCTTTACCTGCCTACAAGGGGGATTCAAAATAGCAACTTCTGCACAAAAATTTAACTTTTTAAATTTAAATTTTAAAAATATTCCGGAAATACTGCGTTCTTTAAACGTATGATAAATTAAACCTTATGCTACATACTAAAAATTAAAAAAAAATAATTTGTGTCGACGATTTATCTTCTACGAACAAATGGCTGCCGTAGTTAAAACACGCTATTTTTGTGTTAAAATTTTCGATTATTTATTTTCAAATTTAAATTGCTATAACTTTTTATTTATTATATTGTAAGGCTCAATTTCCAAATTTTATATTTTTCTTTCCTTTTGCAAATACATTGTTATATTATTTATTAGTTAAACCTAAAGGTTAACACAAAATCGCAAAAATGGCGATACTAAAGCAAAATATATGCACATCCATATTTCAATACTTGATATCGTAATAACACATTTGTTTAACTCAATTATTACAATCTTTAAAATACTAAAGATTATTTAATACTGAGCATTTATAAAATATATTATTATTTATAAAAAGCACAATAAAAAATATAATTCATCAATATCACTATGAATTAATTAATTTATAATATTTATAGGTAGCTAAACACAATGATATAGTTACCATGGCTTTAAAAAAATATACTACAGCTGTGGATATCCTGTATGACTGTTTGGAAAAGTATGCATGTAAACCAGGAATTAAAAAAAGTAAATAATATTATACAAATAAATTTTGTAACAGAGAAATGTATAAACAGGATAAAAAAAATATAAAACCAAAGTTGCTATTTATATTATTTGAACCATATCTTTAAATTTAAAACGGTATTTTGTTTAAACACCAATCAGATAATTTTTTTCTTTACAAAAATTCACAACTGCTCTGAAAATCGTCTAAAAACGACCATGGCCTGTATCCCATATTAATTATTTTCTCATAATATTTTCTAAATTTTTGAAAATAATTTTTTGCTTAATATTTTTTCATTTCCTTACTCAAAATTTACATTTTAATCTCTTATCTCTTATCGTTTAATATTAATTAAATAATATTTCAGGAAGATTGGACTATGATTCATTTCTTGAATCTACAATTCGCAATTTAAAAAATGTTATCTCTAAAACATTCACTCCACAATTAATGGTTGCGCGTAGTCGAGGATTTATTTTAGGTAACAATACCGGAGATTTTGGGAAGTATTGTTTTGCAGCTTATTATACTTTTTTGATTACCGAAAATAATGTAAGTGTAAATAAAAAGCAAATTATTTAAAAAAAAAGTTTCGAGACTGATAAAATTAATCATAAACCACTTTCATCATAGAATTAGGCATCTTTATATTTCAAATAGACTAACTCTATCAAAAAAAGTACAATATTGTTATTATTCGCTATTACAGTGTCACAAATAAATTTATTATTGATTATCAATTTTATTATCTTCGATTCGAAGGTGAGAAGGTATTAATTTTACTATGATTTAATTTTTGTATCTATTACCACTTTTTCTCAGCTCTCTTGTCGAAGAAATTACCCTCAAAAATTGAAAAAAATTCCCTCGTTCACCGTAAATAGGGGAAATCTCCAAAAAAATTACAACTTTACAAATCGTTAACTTTCGAAATTTTTCCATTTTTTTTTTTACTCAAAACAGCTATAACTTTCTCAAAAATGAACAAAACAATATAATTTATTTTATTGATTTTATTTTGGACTTTATTTTGTCTTCACGATGAAAACAGACATCAAAGTTAATAAAAAAAAACCCAGCAAAGGGAGGTGGACGCACAGTGGTGACGCGGCATAGTTGGATCTAGTATAATGATATTTAACAGTGATTAAAATCACTATCATAAAAAACGCTTTGATGCAAATCTGTAGATAGTGTTTAATTTAAAAAATCGGTGTATTATTCTAAAAGCTACATATCTGCTATTTACTTATTTATATCCTGATTAAGATAAAGTATGTCAAATAAAAACGGGATATATATATTATTTCCATAAAAAAATTGTGTTGATCCATACACTTTTCAATAAGTTGGTAGCATTATAAAGTTAAAAATATAAAAAATAAGATCGAGAATTTGTACACAAAAATAGCATTCGGTAGTCGTTTTCATCGTAAAGACAATATAAGTACGACATTTTTTTTCTATAATAAAATACATTACATTAGCTTTAATTTAAGATATATATAAAAGTGTCAGACATTCCGGAACAGTTTCAAAAGTGAAGTTGAAAAAATTAATTTTTTGTGCAAAAGTTGTCATATTGAATCCTCCCCTGTGGGCAGGTAAAGGATCAGATTTATAAAATAAATATACCAAATGATAAGTAAAGAATATAAAAGATCAATAAAATAAAATTATATTGATTTGTTTATTTTTGAAAAAATTATTGAAGTTTTAAGAAAAAAAAGTAAAAAAATTTCGAAAATTAGCGATTTTTAAATTTGTAATTTTTTTGGAGGTTTCCCTTATTTACGGGATACGAGGGCAAAATTTTCAATTTTTGAGGGTAATGTCTTTGACTAGATACGATTTGTGATCTTTTGACGTATCATTAAAAAAAATCGGTTTGGTAATAGCTGAGAAAAAGTGGTAACAGACACAAAAAAAAAAACACATCATAGTAAAACAATACCATCTCAGCATCGCATCGAAGATAATATACGATTATTGTAAAAAATTTCTTTTTTATAATTTTTAACTTTATAATGTTATAACTTATTGAATAGTATATGAATTATCACAATTTTTTTATGAGAAATAATATTTATATCCTTTTTTCATTCGACATACTTTATCTTAATCAGGATATAAATAAGGAAATAGCAGATCATGTAGCTTTTAGAATAATCCATCAATTTTTTAACATTATCTACAGATTCGCATCGAAGCGTTTTTTATGATAGTGATTTTAATCACTGTTAGATATCATTATACTTGATCTAACTAAGCCACGACCCCACTGTACCGCCACCCCATTGTGCTGGGTTTTTTAAAATTTTTTTTACTTAAAACTGCCATAATTTTTTCAAAAATTACCAATTCAATATAAATTATTTTATAGATACATAATGTATTAACCTATCATTTGGTAAATTTTTTTGAAAAATCTGACCCTCAATCTGCCCATAGGGAGGGATTTAAAATGACAACTTTTTTACAAAAAATCAACTTTTTAAAATTAATTTTTGATAGTGTTCCAGAAATACTGACACTTTTATATATATCTGAAATTAAAGCGTATATAATATATAGCCACTTCATCACTGTGTTGGGTTTTTTTATATGATCTTTTTTTAATTAAATTATTGTCTATTTATAAAATATTATAGTTAATAAAGTTTTCCTTATAAAAGGGTATTTTTTTTTCAAAAACTGTAGAAGTAATAATGCATTTAATAACATTGAAGAATCTACCTCGTGCTAAAACAACACTATACACTTGTTTTACAAACAATAATTTAATTGATTTTATAAAAAATCGCAGTAAGTGAATTTTTGTTATGAATATTTTAGTTTTTATTTAATATGTAATCAACTTTTATTAAAAGTAACTTTATCCATTTATTTTTAATATTTTTATAGGATCTTTTGATGAATTTTTAAATAGATTAAGGAAAAGAATTATTTCTGCCGATATCCTACCTAGAAATGCTCATGACGAAATAATTAAATTCTTAAATGAAGATTTATCAAATTTTACAAATGAAATAATTAATTGCTCCACTAGTTTTTATTCAACATTGTTTGAAGTAACAGAACCTGAAGTATGTATAAATAAATTCTTAGCTTTGCCTCGAAGCTAAAATTAGTCTTACTTGTTTCATCTTTCAAATTTTTCAATAATCTTGTTGAAAAATTTTTAATAGATATTTATAAATACGTTTTAGTTTAATTTGATAACTCTGTTACATCGAGTGTTTTTTATAGTTTCTAAAAGTTTGTACTTAAAGTACTTATTTTACGATAATTATTAAAACAGATATTAAGTAAATTTTTATCTGTTATTCGAAACGACAGTTATACTAATTATTTTTAAATATGATTTCATGTGTACTATAGTTAGTGATGTAAATTTTCATAATAATTAATTTTGTAAAAGTTTCCATGAATATTTTGACAAAAAAATTTTAATTGACTAGTTAAAAATATCACAAATGATTTGTTGGATACATAACAATAAGTTGTCGACAAATTGTGTTGTGATTATTAATGCTATCGTTTGTGCTAAATCGAGTTGTTGTTGGTCTTCTCTCTATGTCTGCATTGTCGCAGCCATCTTATTATAGCATTATCTTATTATATTATTATTATTTGTTTATATCAGCGCCATTGTGGCATTATCATTAGTATTATTCACATTGGTGTATTTAAGATTTTATGATTCATGTGTAATACATTTAATTGTTATAAACTTAAGACAAAATAAAAAAACCCAGCACAGTGGGGTGGCGGCACATTGGGATCGTGGCATAGTTGGGTCCAGTATAGATGATATCTGACAGTGTTAATATCACTATCATAAAAAACGCTTCAATGCAAATCTGTAGATAGTGTTAAATTAAAAAAAAAAAATTTGTTAAAATAGCATATTTTTGAATATGGTAGCCATTTGCGCATAGAATATAGGTCGTCGGGACAAATTTTTTTTTCCATTTTATATTACATAAAATAAGCTTTAATTTTATATATGTTTAAAGGACGCAGTATTTCCGCAACATTTTCAAAAATTAAGTTGAAAAAGTTAATTTTTGTAAAAAAGTTGCTATTTTAAATCCCCCCCA